TTAACAACTGAGCCACCCAGGCACCCCAAGGTCACTTTTTTTAGATACAAATATACACGGATTAACCTCATGTTGCATTTTTCTTTGGCTTTTCCATGCCAGAACTTAGTTAAAGTTCATACGTGTGTATAGGTCTGGGTATTCCAAACTAGGATCAGTCCTAAGATTGTACATCTAATACCAGTTCCAGCTTCCCAGTACCCCCAGTTGTGGTGACTGGTATTAAAACGAGTAACACAGTGATGACTGTCCAGGTCGTTTTGACCCATGCTTCTCCATCTTCAGCATGCCCACGAACCCCTGGGGCTCTTGTGGAAATGCAGATTCTGGATTGGCACATCTGGGGCAGGCCCCACTCTTCCTTTCTAACAAGCACCCCAATGCCTGTGCTCCCCAGAAACAGCATATGGCAAGGATTTTGGCCACCACATTTGTATTCTCCTGCCCCCCAAGTTCAGGTTTAGTCTGCGTGAGGCCCGGGCTCTTGTCTTGGCTCTCTCCTTAACTAGTTGTTAGGGGGCGACTGTTTTTTAACTGAGCTAGGTAAGTTCTTCATTTGTGAGATGAGTGTGTGACAAAGCAGATGGATGACCCTGCAGGCTCATTCCTCCCTTGGAGTCCCTTCATTCCTCCCTGAGTCAATTCACGGGCGCTTCTTTCCCAGTGAGGTCACTGAAGCCCAAAACCATCACGATGGGGCTTAGGGCAGGAACCAGGACTCCCCAAAACCTTGGGCTTCATCTCCTAAATAGAGGACCCAAACTCTCAGCCTCACTACTGCTCCACCCAGGATTTCCTTGAAGAGGTTTGTCACACTTGTAACCCCACCAGGTGATAAAGGCGATCCTGGGATGCAGGGGAGGAAAGGAGAGCCGGGAAGACACGGAGCACCCGGATTTCACAGAGGGGAGCCTGGTAGAACTGGGCAGCCAGGGCTTCCCGGCTCCCCAGGCCCCCCAGGCTCCCCTGGGCCAAGAGGGATTATTGGTTTTCCGGGATTTCCAGGTGACCAGGTAAGTGGCTTTGGTTGGGGAGGACAGAAATAATACAACCCTTTTGCTCTCGGATGCCCATAGGAGTCATAATTTGCCAGTGTACATCATTGCTCTTTGACTGGCTTTTAGAATGTAAGCGAAAAGAATGGAAGCTTCTGGAAGGCCATGATGTGACTATAATTTCTAAGCAGGGCTCATGCCTGTTTTCCCATGACAGATGACAGAGTCACTTACTCCACATACTACCCTACCCCCCCCCCCCCAAGCCTAGTTTAAACAGCTCCACAGAAACTTTCCTCGTGACTACTGGTTTATCAGAATAAAGAATCCTCTGAAAAATAACCCAAATTCCAGTGTCTAAACCTTCCTATCTGGTTGCAGATATCACAGATTTTGCTGTAAATACATTTGGTCTTCAAAACCATGAGTAAAATACCCCACTGAGAAGCCAGGAGGTACAATATGTGTCATAGACTACATCACAACTTCTAGAAGATGGATATAATTTGCTACCCATCTTTTGGAATCAAATAGATTTTTCAAGTTTTTGGTAAAAAAAAAAAAGTCTTCTAACAATATTTTATTTGGTATTAATTTGCTCAATCAAATCTTAAAATTCAAATTATGTGATACATTTACTGTTTTGTAATCATGCTACCTGTTGGTACCTCTAATTCTGGAGTTTTAGTCACTTTTAAAAAGCTAGACACATGTATTAGTATGCTGCAATGCACTTCTGATTTTCTTTACCACTGCAAATATATGGAAATGGGTTATGGAAGATTATAACTGGATAATGTTATGAATTTGTCATTTGTATTTGAAACCAAATTAAAGTCTTTTGTTACATTGTCAGGGTGAGCCAGGTTCTCCAGGGTCCCCCGGACGTTCAGGAATTGATGGAATGAGAGGACCTAAAGGTATGCTTTGGACATACAGCAGCCATCCACCAAGTTCATGTTTGTAATATTGTGAGCATGCACATTTGGTATGAAAATTAAAGTATATCCAACAAACTGCAACATCAAAGGGCTTCTTTTTTACTTTTTATTTTTTAAGTTTTTATTTAAATTCCAGTTAGTTAACATACAGAGTAATATTAGCTTCAGGTGTATAATATAGTGATTCAACACTTCCATACATCACCCAGTGCTCGTCACAAGTGCCCTCCTTCATCCCCATCACCTTTTTCACCCATCCTCCCGCCCACCTCCCTTCTGGTAACCAGCAGTTTGTTTTCTATAGGTAAGACGCTGTTTCTTGGTTTGCCCCCCTTCTCTCTCTTTTTCCCCTTTGCTCATTTGTTTCTTAAATTCCACATATAAGTGAAATCACATGGTGTTTGTCTTTCTCTGACTGACTTATTTCACTTGGCATAATATCCTCTAGCTCCATCCATGTCGTTGCAAATGGCAAGATTTCATTCTTTTTATGGCTGAATAATATTCCATTGTATATATATATACCACATCTTCTTTATCCATTCATGAAATGCTAGATGCTTGGACTGTTTCCATAGTTTGGTTATTGTAGATAATGCTGCTATAAACATCGGGTTGCATGTATCCCTTTGAATTAGTAGTGTATTTTGG